CCAACCTCTGTTCTCCTAAGGCCCCCTGGACAATATACCTTTCTCCTATAGTGTAGAAATGAACCAGAAGAGAATCTCAGAAAAGAAAAATCTAAAGATTTCCTTTTAATCCTGGCTCATCACCTTTAAAACCCACAACTGATTACAAACACCTGAGGGGCTTTACCACATGTGACTTGAGAAACATTCTTAGCTAGAAGACCAGCACACAAAGTTTCCACACACACACTCCAACCTCTTGGACCAATAATGACTGGGAGAGTCTGAATAAGCCTGACTTTGCTGACCACCACCACCTCTGCCACATGCAAGACTAGCAGAGGGAGGCCGGGCGGTGGTGGCGCACACCTTTAATCCCAGCACTTGGGAGGCAGAGGCAGGCAGATCTCAGTGAGTTCGAGGCCAGCCTGGGCTACTAAGTGAGTGCCAGAACAGGCGCAAAACTACACAGAGAAACTCTGTCTCGAAAAAAAAAAAAAAAAAAAGACTAGCAGAGGAACTGAGAAAATGCTAATTCCCGTTCTCCATGCTCCTTGGTAATCATACAGTACTGCCTCCAATGATGATAGGACAATCTGAAGTAAAAATATGCTTCCTCCAAATCCTCTAAAACCAGTATTTAAATGATAAAGTCAACTATACCTACCTGATCATAAACTCCACAACCCCCAACTAATAACCCATGTATTTCCACAATCTCCTTGGTGACTACAAATTAGCCAAATGTATCTAAGAACCAAGTTACATAATACAAACTCCTACCAAATGTTCCTCTTCTTAAGGTCTGACTAACCTAGGATATAAATTCAAACACTGCAACAGAGTCGGGAAGATGGAAGTACAGATGCCTGTCTCAAAGCCTGACAATTTAATCCCCAGGTTCAATTCCCAGGACCCACATAGGGAAGGAGTGAACCACCACATCTACTGTAGCCCATACACAAATACACACACATACAAATGAATGTAATTTTTAAAATACTCTAAGTAAGCCATAGTAGTATTTTGCACTTTAACATATGAAAGGGCTTGTTTCCCCTTCCTGATGATCAAAGCCAGGGCCGTGTACCTGCTAACAAAGGCTCCCCCACCGATGTGCACCCTCAGCTCCAACATTCCAGACTTCTTTTGCAGCTTTATTCCTTTACCATCTCTCCTGTACTACTAGTACACCACTGTTCAAATATGCACAGTTCTCTCATTTATTATAAATACTATTATTAATCATTCTCTTATTTACATACTTTTTAAGTTTTTTCTAATTTTTTTGCTTTTATATGCAACCAACACTGCTGTGAACATTTTTATATGGAACTGTTCAAAGATAAAGTTCCTTAGGGCAGAAATTCTCACTTTGGTTCTTGAACAACCCTAAGGAAGACACTTTTGCAGCCTTCATATGGTCAAAGGTGCTGGCATGATAATATGAAAAATATTATTCACATCTTTCATATTAGTATTGCATTGATAATACAAAAGTACTAGAAAGAGCCGGGCAGTGGTGGTTCACCCCTTTAATACCAGCACTTGGAGGCAGAAGCAAGGCAGATATCCAAGTTCAAGGCCATCCTGGTCTACAGAGTGAGTTCCAGAACAGCCAGGTCTACACAGAGAAATCCTGTCTTGAAAACACCAAAAAAGTACTAGAAGGTGAAAAGCTGCTAAGTTAACAGTAATGAGACTGATTGATATTATGCATCTTCTAATACTGCAAAGGGCAAAATACCATTTCTACTATACTCTTCACAAAATGCTTAACTGGCATTTAACCATGAGGAAACAGTTTGAGGGACAGTCTACATGATTAGTGGCTGGTACCTCTGAAAGACAAAGCATAAGAACATGGTCCAGCCCGGGCGGTGGTGGCGCACGCCTTTAGTCCCAGCACTCGGGATTGGCAGAGGCAGGTGGATCTCTGTGAGTTCGAGGCCAGCCTGGGCTACCAAGTGAGTTCCAGGAAAGGCGCAAAGCTACACAGAGAAACCCTGTCTCGAAAAACCAAAAAAAAAAAAAAAAAAAACATGGTCCAAAGTTAAAGAAGACCATTAAATGAGAGAGTTGAGTGGAAGCCAGAAAAACCTTACTAGTATACAATATTTTTGTAAGCCTAAAATTACTTCAGAGTGGAAGATGAATTTTGTAATTTTTCACTATTGTGTAAATAAATATCAAGTATTGATTATAACAGAGTAAATCTTACAGAATGATGTACAAATATGTCAATGGACATTATTCATTAAATATTTTGAAGCAAAAAAAACAAAAGGAGCACTATAAGAATTGGAGAGAAAACCAGAGCTAAGAGCTTATATTTGCTCAATACTTTAAAGGACTACCGAACCTGCACACAGGAGAGCTTCCAAACATTTGCTAAGGGTCAGAATGCACAGCACGGGCCTTGGCTCCATCCCCAGCACCGACACAGTGTGTTCAAAGGAACTAGGTGACAAGATAAACTGTTTCCATCAGTAAGTAAGTGAGACCATCCTGACAAAGGCTCTGAAAGTCACCCTTAAAGCATATGCTTTTACACCAAGCTTTGTAACACACCAACAGACTGCATTCTACAGGACATGAGCCCCTGTGACATCATGACAGAAGATAGGAAGAGTACTTTCTGGTGCTCTACTGCAGAGTTTTTCACCACAAAGAAAATAATAAATGTTTGAGAAGAAAAAAATACCTCTACCCTAGAACCAATACTTAAATTTCTCAATAAACCTACAATCACTGATCCTAAAAATTCCTCCAAATTATTACACTGCGATCAGACTTCAGACTGAGCTAGCATAAAACAAAACTTTAAAGTGTGCATCAACAGGCATATATGTCAGATACAATTGCTGGGAATGTAATTTCAAATATCTTTGAGGGCAATCAGTTAACATCCATGAGAATATTAATGCATGCATAGTTTAGTGCAGCAAAGTATGGGACAGGTGTATAAGGATTTGTAGGATTCATCTATGGTATCACTGTAAGAAGACCTAAAATATCAATACCTATCAATAAACTACTGGGAAAGTACACTTCTGCATTCAGCCACTGGGATACTGCTCACCTATAAGAATAAAGTCATCCCACACAGAGTACAAACGTGGAACAATCACCAATATGAACCACTAAATGAAAGAAGTCCAAGTGCAGAAAAGGGCTGAGGTGACACATCAGCCCAAATGGGATCCTCAGTACCTGTGCTAAAAAAAAATGCCAGGCAAGACTCCCACGTGCCTGCAATCCCAGGGCTGGAGAGAGAATGTCAAGAAGACCCCTAGGCTCACAACTCAGCCCTACTAACAAATCAGTGAGCTCCAGGTTCCATGAGTGACCCTGAATCAAAGAGTAAAGAACTGACTGAGGAAGACTGCAGACATTGACATCTGACCTCCACACATTTGCACACCCAGATGTAATCCACCCCTGTGCACACAGGCAAAGAGCAGAAAACTAAAAGTGTATTGCTATTTGTATTTAAGAGGGTCAAGAGTTTGTATTTTTAGTGCATTCATATCTGTGCTTACAACTGCAAAAATATACATGGCTGCCCTTTTGAGTTATGCACATACATCCCTTTTGGTGCATAAAAACTAGCTAAAAGAAAACACTATTTTCAGCTGGGTATGGTGGCACACGCCTGTAGTCCCAGCACTTGGGGAGGCTGAGGCAGGAGGATCAGCAGAGCCAGCCTCATCAACTCACTAAGTCCAAGACAGTGGACTGCATGAGACCTTCTCTTTAAAAGTTTAACAAGAGTTTATAAATTACTTGTTCAAAACTGAGTTGTTTGGTGCTAACTTCTTTCTGTTGGTAGCAGCGACTGTCCACCTATTTCAAGATCAGGCTCTGCCAAACTGTCTTAGTAGCATCTTAGTTAGGAATTCTGAAGCATAATACAATTTTAATTTGAACTTCCTAAATGAATACAATTATCAAGAACATATCTATGCCTGGCGGTGGTGGCCCACGTCTTTAGGGAGGCAGAGGAAGACAGATCTCTGTGAGTTCGAGGCCAGCCTGGTCTACACACCTAGTTCCTGGACAGCCAGGGCTAAATAGAGAAATCCTGTCTTGAAAAAAACCAAAACCAAAACAAAACAATAGATCCAAGTAAAAACATTAAAATAAATCGTATTTGTTTTGTGAGAGCAATTCTTCTGTATGTCACATTAAAAAAATATAGTGTAAATAACTCACAGACCCCTATAATGGAGTAAACCACGAAGATCATTAATTCTCAGGATGAACGTATAGAATTTTAACATCGTGTTACTCAGACAGGATGCTAATCAAAAGAAAAGAACCGCGTTTCCTAGGTCTGTCTTTCCCTTGGAAAAAGTCTCAGTCAGTCTCTCTCTCTCTCTCTCTCTCTCTCACACACACACACACACACACACACACACACACACACACTCACACACACACTCACACACACCCCCCCCCCACAAACTCAACAGCTCTAGTGCTACAAACATATATAATTAAACAATGTGGTCGAAAATGCATTTTCACAGTCCCAAATGGTATTTATCATCTGAACTCATAAATCATTCTGTGTCACTGGCGGGAAGGAAAAAGGCTAGCTCAACAAAGCGAAGGCACCAAGGGAAGGGCCCCTGGCAACTCCACACACCATATGGCAAGGCAAGCCTCCCATCAGACAGTTATCACTTGATGGCTGATTAATGTCAATGCTTATTGACAGACAGCCTCTCCGCCTCTCCGCCCCCCGCCTCCCACCCCCCCCCCCCCCCCCCCCCCCCAAAAGCGGAGGAAATCTGTTGTCTGCGATGCTTTTCGTCTAGGAAACTTGATGGTCCTTCCTAGGAAACCTTCCACCAATCCTTTGGAGATGAGGGGCATCTGTCCGTTCTGCGGGTCTTGGTTTACCTGGTTTGGAACCTCACACTCCCGCGGCCCGGCACTGTAAGGGCAGGCGTCCCGCGGCTGGCCTCGCCCCTTCCTCCCACGCGCGCAGCCCCGGGCCCGCTGGCCCCGCTTACCGGTGGGCGCGCTGTCCAGGATGCGCAGGTCGTAGGCCCCGGAGCAGCGGTAGTTGGCGGCCGTGCCGTTGTCCCACACCACCACGACCTCCTCCGGGCTCTCGAAGCTCCGCACGGTGCCCACATGGCCCTCGCCGCCGTCCTGCTTGCCCCACTTCCAGTCTGGGCCGCGCACGACGCGGGCGCCGACCCCCTCCACCATCACCCGGTTGTTGCGGGAGTTACTCATCGGGGCCCGGGCGGTGGGCGCCGCCGCCGGCGGGGGAGCCGTGAGGGAGCTGGGCCCGG